TTATGATAAAAACTATGGGGGCTTATTCTTGAAGACTGTACTACAAGATGTCTGATTGGTCAATAACTAAAACTAATTTTAGATTTACTATTATTATCCAATCAGAATACAGTTATTCTTGAATCTGGATTATTATCTTAGTTTAGTAAAGTTTTCGAGAATAAAGCCCCTGATAAAGGAAAAGACATCAATTCATTCATTCTATAAGATCTGCTTTAGAAAATATGCTGAAAATCGTTAAAAATATTATTTTTTTGATGCATAGACCCAATGATATTTATTATTATGTATTACTGCCTTTTCTATCCTTTTAACCCTTTAAACACAGAGTGTAAATGAAATAAAATATCATATATACCCTGAATTCCCAAGTAATATTACTTAGAAAAAAGTAAAAATTCTACTTTTCTGACCTCATTCTATTTTAGTAATGAAGCGGTTGTATATCCTAAACGCTACAAACATGACTAAATGTGACTTTTAGTAAAAAAAAAAACAGTTACTTGAAGAGGAGCCACCAGTGTTAAAAGGGTTAAGGGCATTATCTTTGCTCCTATGGACCTTCTGTCTCTTGACTTGATTTTTATTCTTGAAAATACATTCCCATAAAATGAAAAGAAAAAATTCAGAATATTTGGCTGATAAATTTGAAGTTATTATTAGATTTAAGCAGAACCTGAAATAAACTCAGATTTTCACGCCATTGTGATCTTCAGAAAACTGATCTATTTCAGTCTATAATGATTATTCTAAAACTCCATTGTGGTAAGACACACCAAATTTATGTATCATATTTGGTGATATAGACATTGGAATATTTACTGGCACCAAGATCTCAACATCATCTCTTTACAGCCTTCTTTAGATTTTAATAACTATTCGACCACAAAGTCTGACTTTTAACATACAAATGTGCAGTTATGACTCATATTATACACCTTTTATGACTGATAAAAAAAATATTACTTCATCTTATACCTTGACTGCAATATACTATATCTTGTATCACAGAAATTTGTAAATGCAGTCATTTGATTGGATTGTACGTTAGGGAAAACAGCCAATCAGAGTCCTCAACAGAAAGGCTGTAAACAATAAGTCATAATCAGGATTGGCTGTATTCGCTAGAGTACAATCCAATCAAATTGCATCATTCTGTGATACAAGAAAGGTGGATATTGCAGTCAAGGTATAAGACGAATTTTCTTATACCTTGACCTTTGTGAACATAATTGTTTTAAAGATTTATGTTTTCAAGAATGAAGGCCCGAGACTTTTAGCATTTAAACTTTTTGATACACTGTATATTTCTAATAACAACTTGCCAATCTTTACTCTTTTCTCTAAAATGTATTTTTATAAAATTTTACTCGAAATTCTCAAAAACGGCACTTTTGATATTTACACTTTTAAAATCTTACACTTGTGTTTTGTAATATAACAGAGTTATTTCCCTTTTCGTATAATTGAGTTGTTGCCCTTGTTTTGAGATTTTTAATGTTACAAAAGTGTTACCTTGATTTGAGATATTAAATAACACAAAGTTATTGCCCTTGATAGATAACATTAATGTAATATAAACTATTTCCCTTGGTTAATGATATTTACTGTAGTTGAGTTGTTGCCCTTTATATCAGATAATTAGAGGTTATTTCCCCTTGATTTGTAATAGTTAATATAACACTGGTTATTTCCCTTGGTTTTTATTATGTAATGTATAAGTTATTGCCCTTGTTTTGTAATATTTGTATATAATTTATGTATTTAGTTCTTGTGTTGTCATGGCGATGGGTGTATCAGAGAAGACAAGTTAAAAGCAGGCAAATTACAAAATTTTGAAATTGAATTGAAATTCTTGAAAAATTGTTAGATAATTCTAGGATTTTTAGAAAGAACAGGAAGCAAAGAATGTTACTTTTGAAGAAGAATACAAAAACTTTTCAAGTAATTTTCCATGGTACTATGGAAGACCAAACAGCCCAATAGTAAGATATCTTAATATCAGTCTGTTTGGTCTTCCATAGGATACCCATCATTCTGATAGACCCAGTACGTCTATATCTGTAAATATATTTGATGTAATGGTCACAATGTCACATCAGGGTTGCTGTCTAGATTGAAATGATCTCTATATGGTAGAATACTTACAAATATTGGTATATTAATATTTAATATTTAAGGCTTGTCATGTCAGATCTGGGGCCTCGTTCTCTAAAACTTAACATTATCCAGATATTAAGAAATACAGTAATCTGATTGGATAATAAAATTTAAAATCCATTTTAATGATTGACCATCAGATGACTGGAAAAATCATTTTCATTTAAGTTTTCGAGAATAAAGCCCTTCGTGTATTAATGCCTTTACAAAAATTAGACTGTTATTTGTCTTCACGAAGCCATTTGTGTCTAAGTATGATAATTTTTAAAGTATAAGAATTTTAATGTAATAAAGTATGATATTATTAAAGTATAAGACTAATAATGTAATAAAGTATGATAATTTTAAAGTATAAGAATAATAATGTAATAAAGTATGATAATATTAAAGTATAGGACTAATTATTACAGAAAGTATGATAATTTTAAAGTATAAGAATAATAATGTAATAAAGTATGATAATATTAAAGTATAGGACTAATTATTACAGAAAGTATGATAATTTTAAAGTATAAGAATAATAATGTAATAAAGTATGATAATATTAAAGTATAAGACTAATAATGTAATAAAGTATGATAATATTAAAGTATAACATTAATTATTACAGAAAGTATGATAATTTTAAAGTATAGGACTAATGATGTAATAAAGTATGATAATTTTAAAGTATAGGACTAATGATGTAATAAAGTATGATATTTTTTGAAGTATAAGAATAATAATGTAATAAAGTATGATGATACTAAAGTATAAGACTAATTATAACAGAAAGTATGATAATTTTAAAGTATAAGACTAATAATGTAATAAAGTATGATAATATTAAAGTATAAGAATAATTATTACAGAAAGTATGATAATTTTGAAGTATAAGAATAATAATGTAATAAAGTATGATAATTTTAAAGTATAAGTCTAATAATGTAATAAAGTATGATAATATTAAAGTATAAGACTAATTATAACAGAAAGTATGATAATTTTAAAGTATAAGAATAATAATTTACTAAAGTATGATAATTTTAAAATATAAGACTAATTATAACAGAAAGTATGATAATTTGAAAGTATAAGGAGAAATACTGTGATACCGGTAGTTAATTTGATTGGTTGTTGAATATTATTATTATTATTATTGTTAAGTTGTTTTCTGAAAGCAATTCACTGTTGTTTGGTATTACACTATTCGTGAAGTCACAGTGCAATAAACCATTTATAAACAACTGGAGTGTCTTATTGAACATGTTATTACAACCAGAAAGACAGTGGTGTCTCCTACGGGGATACAGGGCCGGGGGGGGGGGGGGGGGGGGGGGGAGGGGGTACATTTGTTCCGATAGAAAATTGATTTGTACCCCCTAATTATACCCTACGGCATTCTGGCCCTTATAATTCGAGATATAACTATAAAAATCGTCATCTTAAATTTATTAGAAATCAATTAGGAGTACATACCAAATGCCCCCTCTCTACCCCGATTTGCTCCGCCGCAGAAATAGTCAAAAGATTGAAGTTAAAGATTTTGTCCATTGTTGACCATAATACCGTCCGTTCACAATAGATCATCAATAGAGTATCTTGAGATCTGGTTTATTTACATTGAAAACGACGAGTCTTTGGTCTATTGAAATATTGAAGTAGTAAAAGACGATTAGCTGATGTTCAAAAGGACCTAAAGCCAGGCACAAAACAAATAAATCTGATGTATGTTGGAGAACAAAAGATAGATTTGATTCACAAATAAAAGGCTTCAGGCACAGATCGGTTGACTTTAATAATCGATTAGTTAATAAAGAAATTCTTGCGTTGGTGGAATTGTTTTTAAAACCACAAAGTTGGACATAGAACAGAAGGTAGATGTAACGTGTCGCACAAATAAATGGACACTTTTAGATTTAAGACGACTTTAATATCCAATATTATATATTAATATATTAACAATATTTATTTATAAATTGAAAGTTATACATTACATATAAATATATATTAGCAATGGTTTCAGAAACATGCCGCAGCTTATATTAATTCGTTTAAATGAGTATTGACTCATATCCAGTCTTCAGTCAGTGGTCGTCTGACCTGGTCAAGCATGTGCAAGTGCGCAATAAGAGCGTTATGGTATATCAGATATATCAAACAGTGAAATATCAAGGTATCAGAAATGTGAAGAGGCCTTCTCTAGTTCTCTGTCACACCTAGTTGTATCATTTTGTCTTTTTAAACAGCGACATGATTTCTGTTCTAAATTTCTTACTATAGCATCCGTATATAATAGGATTACAGGCACTGTTTATTAGATACGACCTGATGAAGATTCCCACTAAACTTTCAGTCACTTTCGTTAATTTGAATTTTCCCGCCACAAGTTCGGTTACCATTAGTGATAGATGAGGGAGATAACTCAACAAGAAGACTAATGTTACTATAAATAGCATTTTAAACATTCCTTGACCTTTTAACTTCTGGCGTTTGTTCTCTGTGGATTTATGCGCGGTTTTGTTTGGAGAAGTCTCACTCTTTGAAGAGTTCACCGAGTCATTGTTACTACTGCCACTCTTTGACGTTAACAATATATTATTAGAACCAGTGCTCCCTTGTTTTTTATTGTGGCTTGAAATTCCATGTTTCTTTCTCAACCACAGACTTCTGGCGATGATGAGATACAAAATAACGATAGAACTGAAAGCAGAGATGAAAATTAGAAAAAGAATTCCGTTATATATCACAGGATAAAGCGTATCTTTAAATCGATTCTCCGGGGCACAATTCACTACATAAAACACATCATCTTCAAACATCAAGGGTTCTATCTGTTCCGTGACAATGACAGCTGAAGGCCAAGATGTACATAAAGCGAAAATAAAAGAACAAAACACAATTATCCTCGCTTGTTTGATAGAAATATTTGGTTTAAGAGGATGGCAAATTCCTCGATATCGGAGCGCTGCTATGGCAACCAGAGTCAATCCTGTAGCAGTAGCTGTAGTCGTTGCTATGGAAACGATTGCTTTGCATCCGTATATCATTTCAGAATAGGTCATATTTAAAACATCGAGCGGCATCTCTATAGCACAGCAAATCAAATCCATCATGGCAAGAAATACTATAAACGTATTGAAGGAAGATGCTTTCAGACGCAATCCATAAACAATAAGAACCAGCGTGTTACCGATACAACCAGTACTAAGCAATAGAGTGTTATACACAGCTGTAGGGTAATTATAAAATCTCTCTGTAACATTATTGGTTGCGTTCATACCTGGGTCATCATAATCCGAAATATTAAAGGATTCAGTGAAATTCGGGATCATTTTTGTTTCGTTGGTCTATAGTCCTATTTGTACTGGTTTCTGGTAATATTGTACTTCACTGTATCACAAAGTCCTACTTTTGCTGTTGGTGGTTGGCATTCAATATAGAATAAGATTATTCGGTTGCTGTATCAATATGGCCTTTTACTTACTAAAAACACTTGCTGGTAGTGTCCTGTACATCAGCAATGTCGTAAACCAATCTACAAGCTAATTGTTTTCCTTATACATATAATATTCTTCTACAGAGACAACCCGTGAGGTCGTTATAACCGGATCTTGTAAAAGTTTTCTAGAGTAAGCTGTAAATGCATATAAATCTGTCATAAATTACTTACAAAATAGTTGAGGAGTTTCTTCCTACTTAACTATTCTTGATTTTAGGAAAAAACAGATTGAAATATATATATGAACTATGAGTCAAACGACCTAATGTGACGGGCAAAACTATGCAGTGTGCAATGAGGGAAATTTTTCCAGGACAGCAGCATTATCCTATTCTTTTTCAACAGTTTGTAGCACACAGGACGTCTCGCTAGGTATCATCTTAATTAAAGCGCCATTAGCCCATTACCTCTTATCATATCTTTCATTATTGTAAACTAGTCATGAGCTATATATACAAACTGAAAAGCGACACGCGTGCCTGTGAATACGTTCTTCAACTGACAAAGCAAAACATTAATAGAGTTTAATACTATAATGATCAAATTATAAGCTTACCATTATAGCGTAATGGGCCTTAAACACTGAAACGTTCACCAAGACGATTGAAAATACAAGTTAAATGGGAAGATTTTGTCGTTTTAGATTTAAGTCCAACAAAGTTCCGGGTAATAGGTTAACTGGACGATTAGTAATTCGGGAACCCCGTATATTACTACGTTGTGATAAGATAGATAATACACGGATATGAAATTCAAGACAAACGGATGCTGACACTAGGGGTATATTTGTTATTTCTAGTATAACCCAGATTTAACATGGCGAATACCAGCTGATAACATGTTATGTAATTTCAAGACGTAGGTGACACCATAAATACAATGGGGTTTTGTTAATAATAAAATTAAAAATATACGACATTTAGGTGCGAGTGTTTTGTAGAAAGATACCTGCATTATTACTCACTTCTGAACTAAGTTAACGTTTTACATGTTAGAAATACACGAGTATTAAGGCCTGAAGATACAGAGTACGGTTTGCGGTGAGGCTTCCGGTCTACGGTTGCGGTCTGCGCAACGGGAACGCGGCCTGCCTATTTTGTCGTTTTAAAAGGATCCGGCGAAACTGATACGGTTTTGATTAAATTTGAATGTAGAGAGACTCGACTAGGAACTGGCTGCTTATTGGCCAAGACCAATCCGTCATCGCCCGCCACACGAAAATTCGGCATTCACTGTGACGCGGCGTCCCATCGCCGTACTCGACACTGCGGTGACCGGACTGTGTATGAATGGATATATAAAAACACCTTGGGCATTCTGTACGGAAAACGCACGCCGGACGCCGCACCGCAAACCGTACCCTGTATGTTCAGGCCTTTGCATGGACTCACTTCTTTGATATAGGGGTTTTGCGTCCTATTGTTCTGCTCTCTCTGATTAATAAAGACTACCCATGCAGTGTACAATGCGGGAAGGGTATACATCGCGATATTTCTTAAGTATGGTTTTTGAAACATAATGTTGCTTTTTTTATTTAAAAAATTTATATGTAAGCAAAACAATAAATATCTCTTAAAAACACTCCAGTCTTGAATATCATGAAACAGTTCAGACGATATAACTAACGATATAAATTTCTATACCGATATAACGCCCAGCCCTCTAGTGTACAATAAACATATTCTAATACTGGAACAATGACGTGCTAATTTCTAACTGTACGAATGAATCGACTGTGAGCCGAGTGGACCAAAAACTCAATGATTACTAACGATCAGAACCACAAAAAAATCCCGAAATCCAAACAACATATTGGTGAAACATTAATGAATGATTGAATGAATGAACCAAGTGCAAAACGAAATCCAAACAACATATTGGTGGAACATCAATAACAGCTAATGTGTAATGAAACGTGGTATCAGGTGTCTAGAAGAGTAAGTATACTCTGCCTGACGTCACATCCGTCAATCAAATATAGAAAAATACACAAAGAAATATTCAGTTTAATCCAATCACAGCGTTCTTGAATTTGATAAAGGCCAAGACAAATAGTCGGATATCCAGCAGAATCAACAATCCGAATACAGTGCTGAGAATTATAACTCCCACATATCCTATAGACTGAGCTGAGGGTCGATTGTCTACAGCTGATGTTTTTTTTCTGATGGTAGCTGACAAGGATTGTTTATCAATTGTTAAATTTCCTTGTAATCTGGTCAATTCTTCCAGTAATTCTTCAACCGTCAGTGACCTCATTATGTATGATTTCAATTCTTTACAGATATAGGAATGGTTTAGATGATCTATTTTCACTAAGTCGTCCTCGAGTTCAGAAATAGTGATCGACTCTTTAAACGTCGTCTTTATTTCCGGATCAGCGCTTGTTGGCGCTGTTGACATCGTGTCTGGATTATTGGTCGTTGTGACAGACGCAGTCGTAGCTGTAGTTGTGGTTTTGTTGCTTGTTGGCGCCGTTGACGTCGTGTCTTGATTATTGGTCGTTGTGACAGACGCAGTCGTATCTGTAGTTGTGGTTTTGTTGCTTGTTGGCGCCGTTGACGTCGTGTCAAGATTATCGGTCCTTGTGACAGACGCAGTCGTATCTGTAGACGTTGTAGTTGTGGTTTCGTTGCTTGTTGGCGCCGTTGACGTCGTGTCTGGATTATCGGTCCTTGTGACAGACGCAGTCGTATCTGTAGACGTTGTAGTTGTGGTTTCGTTGCTTGTTGTCTCTATGGACGTTGTACCAGGGCCATCAGTTGTTTGAACTCTAGCTGTAGTGGTTCTCTGATTGGTTGTGGGTTGAAGAGTTGAAGGTGTGGAGAAGTTGAAATGAATCCAGTCTGAAATTAAAATGAAGGAAATTTTCAGGGATACCTCCGTAAAGGCTAAGCAACACCCTCGAAAAAAATTGCCACCATATCTTTGCATGTTAATATAAAAATCCGTACAAGCAAGAGAAATAATACATGATAATTCATTAGAAACACCAGTTAATCAAATAGTTTGTTTAATTTGACACTAAAATATAAGCAACCCCATCTTTAATATGACAACACCTAACACTGCGTAAATCTGACTCTGTATAAATCTACAATGTGGTCTTGTGGTTTACTACAAATATACTATCTGTTATATTGGACACCACCTACCCTCTGGCATATACTGTTGGATAATAACTTACCCGGGGGTGTCAGGTACCCGCCCGTACCCTGAATCCTAATGGTAGGTGCCTGGTACATATGATCTGAAATAAACACCAATTACTGATAAGAATCCTAGTGTTGTTAACCTACAGAGCTGTCCATCAAACACCGTTAAAGATCATTTCAACAATAAAACATGCCGAGGTAGGGGCCTATAGCCAAAACAAACCGCACAAAACAAACCCCCCACAAAACAAACCCCACAAATAACACCATTTCATATTACAAAGGGATTCTAAAGAAGTTTATTTTGTGTCTCCGGGACACTGATAGCATCAATTTATACCAATCCAACTTTCAATCAGACGTCTGTGATTTTTATAACTCTACTAAAACTAAGAGTTATCATGAGATGCTTTCGAAAATGACTTTTAGATAATATATTGGCAGTTAGCGACTTTAACTCAAGCTTATTATTGATTGACATCTGACGGAAAGGAAACCATTATACCTCGATACACATAAAAAAAAACCTAGAAAACCTCTGAGATCCCCATTCATATTATCAAAAACAGTCTCCAAAGACTGGGATATAAAAGAGGGTAGACTAACTGCTTAACAGCAAATACCCCCTCCCCCTCCCCCTTCCTCCTCCTGTATCCCCGCTGTCACCGCCACTAAAAACATCAACTCACGTTACTCACTTTTGACTGTGGTTAGCTTGACTGATGAAGGCCACGTGTTAGAAGTAAAAGAGACTGTTGAGATATTTAAACAACCAAAAGTAAAAACATCTAAACCTGTGACATTAACTCGGACTGTGGAATCGTCTTTTCTAACACCAACTCCGTCCTATCATTAGAAACAAAGGAACAAACATATTTTATAATGCTAATAACTCATTGATAAGTTGTCACGGGTCCTGTCTACCAGCTGGTAAATATCCGAACCTTATAAGGAAATATCCATCTTTTATAAGGCTGACAATTTGGGTTCATAAGGATCCTGTCTCTCGACTGATTTTGTCCAAAAACGTTAGTATTTCACAAGTATACCAAATTAAGTTCTTAAAAGAAGATTTCAAGCAGTTTATGTGTAGCACCAGTAATACTGACCGTGGTTCCAGCCATTTTATGTGTAGCACCAGTAATACTGACTGTGGTTCCAGCCATTTTATGTGTATTGCGTACCAAATTATCATTGGAAATAATAAAATATGATAGGTACGTACCATGTTGTATATTATCAAGGGGTTTAGATCACCACAATGATTAAACGGTGTATAAATAACTTTCATGCTACAGTTAAAATTATCCGGTGAAGATGTAACAAGATCAATGTGTTTAATGTATACTGGTTCGTTTATTATACTACCCGTGTAATTTATCTATAATATATAAAATAGTGTTTGTCGTTATCCAGGGGGTTAATTAGAAACAACGTAACGGTTTATTTTGAAACTTCATACAGTGTGCAATGACAGTGGCGGGGCCAGGTTTACGTCCGAGAAGGGGCGAGATATCTGAAATTGCCCGAATCTCTAACCTACAAAACACAGAAATGCTGGGGTTCATCTCCCCGACCCTTAGTTTGGCGATAGATTCATATGCTTCCTGATACTGGTGTTTCTATGAATTATTTGCCAGGGGCAGGTAGTGACAATTCCGTGTCCAAACCACACCCCCATTTGACATACTACCTTAACAGACCTTGTCAAAACCCGTAATCGAAATACGGTGGTAGTGATCACAGAATTGTGAAGTATCAATTCTACTGCCCACAAATCCCCCGTAGAAACTCCACTATGATACATGTGATTAAAAGAGTAAATAGAATATTTTACCATTAATGTATGATTTTCTTCTGTAAAAACAAATCTAGATGAACCCAAAAATTCATTTTCTTCGAGTTGAAAGAACGAATCCAAAAAATCTGCAAAGTTCAAAAGAAGTACAGTTGAAGTCAGGGAAATGATTTGGTGCGTCTTGACAGATATTTATGGAAAAACCGTATAAAAATCGTGTTTTTAAATTTGTTGGGTACATGCAAACCATTTTTCTAGCGCAGTGTATCTCCACATGCGCCGCCACTTCTTGTACCCCTTCCTTTTTCCAACACCCCAGGGGCTATGACGTAAACCTACCCTGTAAGGGACTGAGATGATGAAAGAATACACAGTACTGGTTAGAATGATCAAGACAATCATCGTATTTTTTACAGCTGCTGGAACTGAGGGTTAGTTCTATAGATACAGATACATCACCGTAACATCTACACAAACCGAGAAACTCATCTCCTGGACCGACCTGTAAAACATTTCAGTCTTGTTCTTCACATAATTGGACTGTCCCCTAATTGGTAATATAATGATACCTAACCCTTTCTACCGATTTTATCACAGTGGCCCCAGTAGAGGAGTGTGGTGGGCCCGGGGGCGTAAGTAAGGTTATTTTTTTCAATATTTACTCTCCCGCATTCTGAAAATCTGTAAGTCGATTTAATGCCTGTTTATGGAAGATTTAATTAATGCTATTTCACTCATTTATATATTGCTGGTAGCTAAGTTTGATTATAATTATATACTTTGGTACCTTTTTCTTTCAATTTTGTATTTTTTTTCTACAGGAGTGGACGTAGACTTGGCTCGGCCAGTCCCTATGGTAGTTGAGCTTTTTGATTTATGATATTTACCAACCTTAGTGAGAGAATATTGTAGATTTCGACTTATACAACAGATAAAACAGGACGAGAATGATATAACATTGGAACATTCGGTATCAGATATATTCGTCTCGGGGGAGATGTTAGGCAAACATTTATCAATTCCATCAGATACTGAAACAAAAATATGAACGAATGAACGAACGAACGAACGAACGAACGAATGAATGAATGAATAAATGAATGAATGAATGAATGAATGAATGAATGAATGTATGAATGAATGAATGAATGAATGAATGAATGAATGAATGAATGAATGAATGAATGAATGAATGAATGAATGAATGAATGAATGAAACTAACGATACAAACCGCAAAACGGAACCCGAAATCCAAAACAACATTTTGACGAAACATAAGTAGCATGAGGAAGTATATCAATCATACGTGAGTAAGTATTTCATAATGAAAAGTGGTATCAGGTGTCTAGAATAAAAAACAAATTCTGAAAGAGTGAAAGAAAGAATGAGTGAATCATAAAAGTCTAACAATTCCACATGAAGTTTTATACTTACTTATAACCGCTTTGTTTCCAGGGTGGTTTGGTAATATATTAAACCATTCTGAATTATACATAAAAGCAGAAAAGATAATTTCTATGTTTAATTTCTCCATCGAGTTAACCACCATCCATTTTTCTCTATATGCTGTTAAACCCATGAAACTTCTGAAATAAAGACAAAAACCCCTAATGTTCTACAAATGTGTCGTCAAAATTCCACAGCCTGCTCATTCCATCACTTAACTGCGATGCGCACACTGGACAAATTAATGTTTGCGAGGAAGTCGAATATAATAAAATTGGATTTTTCTTACGTCCAAGGAAAATATATTCTCTCAATAGTTACAAGTTGCAAACAATCGAGTCAAATATTTGAAAGCGTCCAGATATGAAAGACTACACCCCCCTCCCTCCCTCCCTCCCCCCCCCTTTTGACAATTCTGTGGCTCCTATTCGCCCCTCCCCCACTCTCACCTATGGCGGTTACTTTCGACTCTTTAATCAATAATTTTACCTATAGATCGAAACTGAGCATTTCAACAATAAAAAGACTAAAACTTTTCGATCGATCTTAAAAACTAACCTATCGATTTGTACATTCAATGATGATCCAACTTCCGGGTATGATGACGTCACAACTGTGGCTGTTTCAAACCAAATATCGGTAGTTGTAGGTCCAATGATGTCATTTCTCAAAACGACGTAAAATAAAACTTGGCCTAATAAATTGGTCATATATAGGTATATCTGTGGATAAAAAGGAGGATACAAAATACATCACCGACTCATGGATTCTGTTGTAAGATTGAACAAAAGAATTCACAAGAGGCCTCCTAGCCTTCTGTTGAAACTGATCAGTGGCGGGGCTAGGTTCACGTCCGAAGAGGTGATGAAATATCTGAGGTTACCCGAATTTCTAACCTAGTTATGAGAGTCATGCCCAAAAAACTTGCATTCGGGGCTGTGAGGGATGGGGGACTGCCTCTTCTGTCCCCTTTGGCTCCGCCACTGATACTTGATAACTTATATACGTAATTGCATATGGAATTGTCAATAGTGACGTCTTTGGGCCTCTTACTGATAGAACGTATTGTCAGCGACCCATAGTGCTTTTCAGAATGCAATTTCGATGTCTTTTCATCAACAATTCAATATAATTTAAATATGATATCGATTGCACGAAAACATTCTTCCAGTTTGTTATTGAATGATGTTTACCATACACAACCTCTTGCTGATAGAACGTATTGTCAGCGACCCATAGTGCTTTTCAGAATGCAATTTCGATGTCTTTTCATCAACAATTCAATATAATTTAAATATGATATCGATTGCACGAAAACATTCTTCCAGTTTGTTATTGAATGATGTTTACCATACACAACCTCTTGCTGATAGAACGTATTGTCAGCGACCCATAGTGCTTTTCAGAATGCAATTTCGATGTCTTTTCATCAACAATTCAATATAATTTAAATATGATATCGATTGCACGAAAACATTCTTCCAGTTTGTTATTGAATGATATTTACCATACACAACCTCTTGCTGATAGAACGTATTGTCAGCGACCCATAGTGCTTTTCAGAATGCAATTTCGACGTATTTTACTCAACAATTCAATATAATTGAAATATGATATCGATTGCACGAAAACATTCTTCCAGTAAATATTGAGACTGTTATACAGAAAACTGAGTTTTAGTAAAACATAATTCCGTCTACTTTATTCCTTCAGTTTGTTCTGTCTCTCGACTTTAAAATAACAAGAGAAATTTTAAGAAATATAGACATACGATGATTGATTTGTTTAAACTTAAAAAAATAACTTTAGAATACAAAATACCTAACAAAACTAAATAATGGAAATGATTTTAAATATATCGATTAACTCAAGTGGTTTTCAAACCTAATGGCAACTTGTCACAAGTTTTTAATTCAGTGTCAAATTCTCCGAAGTGGAGTGGCGACTTCAGAAAGTTGAACATCACCAAAACAGAGACGATTCTATATAATCATTTATGAGATACAACTACTACCAGACGCCAAGTCTCTGTACTGAGTTCAGTCAGTCATAGTAAAAGACTGGAGTAACTTTTTATAGCTAATCAGACAAACTAATACATTACACAAAAGGCTAAAATAACCTACCACTATGGTCAAGCGGTAACTAACATCGTCTGCCCTTTTTGTGTTGCAGAAGTTTTATTTGTAAATGCAGCAATTTGATTGGATTATATTCTAGCAAATACCTTGACAAAAGATATATTTACAATAAGAAAAATGTTTACAGCCTTTCTGTTGAGAACTCTAAGTAGCTGTATTGGCTTGTGTACAATCCAATCAAATCGTTGCATTCCGTCATACAAGAACAATGGCTATTGCAGTCATAGGACGAAGTTCGTAATAGCTCGACGGTCTATATATTGCGCTAAAGGAGAATACGGCCTACCTGTTTAGGAGGGTCGTTTAGCCAAATATCTAAAAATAGTAGACCACTACAATATTCCTTCCAATCTGGATCTACACATGATGGTCTGGACGATGGATACATTGAACCGTCCAGCAATTCCACCGCATTTCCGGAATGGTTACCTTTTGTCACGAACACGAGGGGACTCCATACTAGAATAAGATATAAATAGATGAAAATTGTCATTCGGTTAGCACAACCACCTGACTGGGCAGGTCAACCATTGGCAATCGGTCAACCGACAACAGAGAAAGTTCCACTAGCGTCCAGCATCAGCTTTACGGAAACTGTCGAGGATTGCCGAATGAATCAAAGGTTAACTGTCATTTTGGCATAAATATTCTCATATATTCACAAGTCAGTAAGACATGGTGTTGGAGACACGCGGTTATGTTAATGGATACGAATATAATAAAATATAACTATTTTTAGGTTTAATTGCCTAAGAAGTCAAAAAATTAAAAACTCACCGTCCACAGGCAGTGCTTTTGTCACTGAAAATAAAAATCACAAACTAATTCATTACTGGATTTATCATTTCATATCATTTATTCATTATTTGGAACTTACTTCATTATACAGACCTTTTTTGGGACTTAATTTATTATACAGATCTTTTTGGAACTTATTTCATTATACAGACCTTTTTTGGAACTTATTTCATTATACAAACTTTTTTTTTTAAATCTAACTTCATTATTCGGACCTTTTTTGGTACATTGAACTTTTCTGATCATTAACATTTTGTTTTATTACGCGTAATTAAGTAATTGTCTTACCTGTTAAAAATGGAGCGAGACAAAAAACCAACAGATTCATCTTCCGAGCATTTAACTTAATAACTAATCGTCTGACAAATTTAACAGGTGTATTCCTCGCATCTTCCTACAAAATCAAAAAGTTCAGAACAAACGTTGAGCCAAGCACTAGACTAATAGAAAACTAACAGGTATTTAAAGCGTTATATGCAGATCGAAGATAACTTGATCAAAGTTATAGAATTGTCCTCTATGGAATCCTGTTGCGGCCAATTTACTACAGTCGACTTTTCGACGAGACTTTGTAAGTAGCTAGTTAACAAGTTAACGTTCATTTCCAGTGGATGCTGATATAACAGACTAGGTAGTTGTTGGTAGATGACAAGTTAACGTTCGCTTCCAGCTGAGCTGATATCACAGACTAGGTAGTTGTTGGTAGATGACAAGTTAACGTTCGCTTCCAGCTAACTGATATCACAGACTAGGTAGTTGTTGGTAGATGACCGTTAACGTTCACTTCCAGCCAACTGATATCACAGACTAGGTAGTTGTTGGTAGATAACAAGTTAACGTTCATTTCCAGTGGATGCTGATATAACAGACTAGGTAGTTGTTGGTAGATGACAAGTTAACGTTCGCTTCCAGCTAACTGATATCACAGACTAGGTAGTTGTTGGTAGATGACAAGTTAACGTTCGCTTCCAGCTAACTGATATCACAGACTAGGTAGTTGTTGGTAGATGACCGTTAACGTCTGCTTCTAGCCAACTGATATCACAGACTAGGTAGTTGTTGGTAGATGACAAGTTAACGTCCGCTTGCAGCTAACTGATATCACAGACTAGGTAGTTGTTGGTAGATGACAAGTTAAATTGGATGATTTTGCACTGTTGGGTTGGTAATAGATAATAGACGAGAATTGAGACGATAACTCGAGATATTTAGGAAGCAAAATCGAGAACAATTTCTAACCGCCATTATTCTCGTCATCTAGACTTTTCTGGAATATAAACTACAGCTATCACATTTAATTGTTTATTTTTCAGTAATTATTTCGTTTAAATCTTGTCTTTTCGATTCAATTTAAAGAGGCATTCCGCTTTTTCGTAAAACATTTTCAGTATCAAAAACGTCGTAAATTATACCTGAAAATATGTCTACAGTATGCTATTTATATCTATGTATCTTATTGATCAAACTGAGTTTGTTTTAAAAGGATTAATTAAAAACGGAGAGTACTAATTGTTCATTAAGCAGTTTTACCTAGTTTTGTTGTTCGGCTTTATAATGGCTCGATATTATTTGTTAGAATACGTAGGAGACATATTTCTCTACAATTAGGCCTTTATTTTACATTAACGAACTAAATCAATGTTTTTAAATATTTTTGGCGTTCAAAAATTAACGGCTGGTTTCTTTTTTTTAAACATCCAGATACGTTAAAGGACAAATTCATCATTTGAATTTATATTATTATAGAATTATAAATATTAACCTTGATCTGAGCGAACCCCGGACCTCAACTTTTGATAGTAGGGTCAAAGTCGTTGAGATATCACGGCTTCTGAAGCTAACAATGATAAAAGAGAAAGATGATCAATATGATGAAGGTTTACTAGTGTCTTAGCACTTAAAACTTTGTAATTTTTATCGATCATTATTCCTGATCTTACAGGCTATACATGAACTGTCTGACTTTCGATTTTTTTAGAACCTCAAATCACAAGTACTTCCTTTAGCCGACATTCTTTGTTCGTTGTAAGAAGTTGGATTCTTTGTTCGTTGTAAGAAGTTTTTAATATTTTTTAATAATAAAGGATGAGACTGAGAAAGTTATATTTTGGTCCATTTTCCGTTTGGGTTCAAAGAATTTCGAATGTTACCTCTCTCGTTGGAACCAAGAATATATTTTTTTAAACTTTCACGGTATTTTTAAAGTGATACTATGTCTTAGAATAAACATAAAATTTAATTCTCAAGAATGGTCAATATGAGTATATATTCATCAGTGAACTTACCTGGTGTCATAAAGTTACAACAGAATCCCTGTAAAATCTGGAAAATTGGAAATTTCATAAAACTAAGTAATTATTGAAAAACGCTTTATCTTAATATTAAAGATGGGTTCCCTTATTTTCATTTATAAAAAGAAAATGAAAATGCTAAGAATTATATGAATAGAGGTTCTAATGACTTGGAAAAATACCAGTTTGTCTCACATGTCCATAATTAATTCATAATAAGCTAAATTAGAAGAGAATTACCAGCAAAATTCCAATGAGTGACCGATCAAGAAAGGTCAAAAAGTCTTTTTTTGTTCATCCAGACTCTACATACATGGACATTTATGATTGGTTAAAACTCTTAATTATATGCAATATTACAAGAATATAATGATATGATAAAGATCAATCAAATAGTTTGCTTAATGTGACAGTAAAAAAATACGGAAACCTATATTTAAGCGTTTTTCAATAGTTAATTGAATATTTATGGAAAATTACTAAGTTTTTTTGATTTATCGGATTTTATAAGTATCCTGTTATGTTATTTATGACACCAGGTATATCTACTGATGAATATATGATACCCTTTGCCTCTATGTTTGGACGCCCTTGCTTCCAATCCAGGAAATATAGCGTTGAATTCGCGGAGCGGAAACACAGTCGGCTTGGTAATCCGCGGTCAACAGGAAATATTCAATCAGAACCAAATAGTTTTATGGTCGTCCAGCTTATCCTGTTTATATCTGGAAATCGTCGACTCGGAAAATAACATCCGTTTACTTCTCAAAGAAGAACTATAACTTGTCAGAGTTTTAGCTGTCTAGTTAGGTTCCTCATTCTATCGCTTTAAGTTCTAGGTGAATGTAGCCTAATGTTAGTTTGACATTTTCCTTGTGAAAATAGGCTTAGTATTATCTTCATATTCGATATTCGACGATATAATTTTTAACGAGAAAGGGGGGGGGGGGGATTAATAACTTGAAGTCAGTCTTCACAGGTCTATTAAATTATGGGTACATGGTTGAAACGTCTAGCCGTAGGGATCCGAGGCTGTACATGGTAAAGATCTCTCGGCAATTGGAAATTGAAAAAGAGCAGTCTAACACCGCTGCCCTGACAAAATTTTCCTCATTGCAAACTGCATGGCGTTGTACGTCTTCATTAACCCAATTCGGTGCGGCGTAAAATGCAATTCATTTCATTTCCTTTAAAGAACGAATTGTTCCAGACATAATATATCTGTATGGTAAATTAACTGTTGTCTATTTTTCTCATTTTTCTGATTTCTTCCCCTATCTTTCCCTTGAACCCTTCGATTAACTAGCGTGCATTGATTTCATACATCCATTGTGTTTATTAAATCATCACATTTATTTAGATTTGAACATAACGAAACACTAAGTGAGAGGCAATTATTGATTTGGGAGAATGAAAATTCAATATTAAAGAAAGAAAAAACGTGGATACACATGATTATGCAGTATGGAATGCAGCATGTAGAATCTAAAGTAAAAACCGACTAGTCGAATGCAACATTGATTCTGGAAGAAAGAGACTACGGCCGCCATGTTTTAGCGTTGATTTCTCTCATTTTCAATATTGAAACATTTTAGATATTCTTTCAGACGAAGTACACATACGATTAATTGCAACAATGGAGCGGCGCATGAAAGATGAACCCGGGTATGATTTTGTTGAGTTTTGATTATTTATTTTGCACATCGCTAGACGAAACAAAGCTGTGCTTTTTGCGAGAAATCCGTACGTCTTTTCACTACCGATTTTTGGAAATAATACCGAATATTTAAAATATCTGTCAATACGATGCTAATATATTTTTAGGTCTGTTTTGTTTCATTTCTAATTACTTGGACCATATCTCCCCAATTCATCATATTGAAATAATTTTTCTCTCATTTGCCTTTTAGTCTATTGAAAATTCATTTTGGTAGCATCTCTTCTTTTCTGCTTCCGAAACCTTGTTTTGTGCAGTTAAGAGGTTAGAAAATACTAGAGTCTTCCAAATTGAATTTGGACACCAGCCTTTATGTCTTTGCTTAATTTTTTTATAATATAAATGTTGTTATTCGCAGGAAAGTATTTGTTGGTGGGTTGAGCTGGAACACAAATCAAGGTAGGTATTTGTTTGTTTGTTTAAGTTGGATATTGATACTATGAGGATATTTGCAATCTTTGTAACACTATGCAATCACAAATTCTCAGAATTTTATTAGATTACCAGTTATTTCTGACCAAATAGATGCATTTTTTTGCTGAAATCCATATTCTGTACTTGTGACCTAGGCCAGTGCTTCTATGGGAGAGTATCTTCTGTAACACCTAATACTTGTGACCTTGGCCAGTGCTTCTATGGGAGAGTATCTTCTATAACACCTAATACTTGTGACCTTGGCCAGTGCTTCTATGGGAGAGTATCTTCTATAACACCTAATACTTGTGACCTTGGCCAGTGCTTCTATGGGAGAGTATCTTCTATAACACCTAGGCCATTGTTTCTATAGAAAAATATCTCTTATAGCATCTTGTACCACATCTTTGTATTTTAGAAATGATTCACAACTATTTTTCAACGTTTGGTGAAGTTATTGACAGTGTGGTCATGAAGAACCCTCAGACAGGGAAATCGCGAGGATTTGGGTTCGTGACCTTTGACAACCCGGCTGTGAGTGAGATAGTTTTAAATGATCCTGGTCACATGATAGATGGAAGAAAGGTAATTTTTTTTTAAAGTAAAAGCCGGGTCCACAAATATGACTTCTAACCAGGTGACTGCTCAAAATTCTGAAAAAATGTCAGGAGCAAAGACAGGCGTGTCAATTTCATAATCTAATTTTGTTGTCTATTCTTATATCTTGCTACGATTTAAATATTTTGGATTGAAATTGTTATGGGAAAGGAGTGTTGGGCAATTTTTGTTATTTTACTAGAGTTTTCTCTTTATTTTGTGTGGGGTGTTATATTCCTCTATACAGAACTTATTAAGTTTAAAACCAGTTAATGAATACTCTGATAGTTATTTTTTTATTATTATTATTTCCGCAGGTTGATTGTAAGGCATGTAATGCTCGTACTGTTGGTGGTGCCCCTGGGGATAAGAAAATACAGGTAAGGGATAAAACACTTTTGTCAGTGCTCAGTTGCTTCTTAAATGGACAAACTAGGAATTTTACTCACTATTTCTATATATGTCTTCTCTATATATCACAGTATCTTAAATTGACGAGTCATCATTTTAACGTTCGAACGCAGATGATTCTGGGCTGAAATTTCGATGGTGATATGTGAACACTATTACTGATTGGCTTAGCTAAAAAAAAAAATGGTTCATTTGTCCCTTTAATAAGTGTATAAAATCCATGAGTAAAGACCATTACCAGATTGTTGAAATTAATTCCTCATTTATATATATTATTGCTTTAACATATTCCTTGTGGTCTTGTATTTAAATATTTCATGTGTATTGAGCACTATTATAGTGAGTGAAAATATTTTTTTATTGTTGTATTATTTCTATGTATTTGCAGGCAGTTAATAGAGGACAGAGAGGGGCTGGAGTTAGTAAAATATTCATGGGTGGAATTCCAGGAGATGCCAATGAAGATACTCTGAGAGATATTTTTCTTAGATATGGACCAGTAAGTATTAGCTTATGATAAATTAGTACAGTACTTTCTGTCTACAGTTAAGTCTGAATTGAATTTTTTCTTTCATTTCATAAATACACTTCCCTCCTAGAAATATTTTGGACTGAAACTTCCTCCGTGGAAAATCATTGTTTACAAATAATATCTTTTACAGTGGTTGACAATTACATCAACCCAGAGACAATCTAAGTCTTTCAGTACCGTGGTGTTTTGTGATTGCCAAAATTTAATTCAGAGAGTAGTTTGTCATGAGTACTGTGATGTAGGGAATCATCTATATATCGTGCCAGTGTTAGTCCCTTGTGGGGTGTGTCTTCAGGGCAATTCTTTTGTTAAAATGGTCTATTTTGTTTGTATTTTTCAAATATTAACAGCTTTATAATACTTTATATATTTATATCATTGCCAAACCTTTATGTAAGGATTTAAGTAACATTGTATGTGTTTTAATGATGAATCAATAAGTCTATTGTGGGTTTTGTCTTATGGACTATTCTTTTGTTTTTATTTAGTTAGTCATCATATTTGTTTTGATTTTTAACAGATTAATATCTTTAATAACTGTTTTGTTGAATTGTTCTTTGTGAGTTTTTGTATCATCAAGACTGTCAGGATTGTTTGATTTGATGATGTCACAAACCCTGAATCACTAAGCCCTGCCAGATGACCAAAAGGAATAAGGGCTATAAGAATGGTTGCTTCTGGGTAAGCTAATATACTAACATGGTAAATCTATTGTTATGTTTGTAGATTGCTGAGATCCACATTATGTATGATCAAGATAAGAAACGGTCTAGAGGTAAGTAGTAATAAATTGATATTTTAGATAATCTTAAAAATAATTGATTAACTCTATTGTATAATGTTTAAAATTGTATTCTTGAATTTTGATCAGTAGAATTCTTAGTTTGATTTTAGAAAACTTTTTGACGGGAAACACAATTCAATTTATTTTTACTTAGTGATCGTGGTAAAAATTGAAATTTTAAAACCAATATGTCAAGTTATAAATTCAAAATTACTTAACACACTATTTCTGGACTGGTCAGAATTCAAGATTACAGGTCTTATTTTCTAAGTTTGATTCAAGGTTTTTGATTATTAGTTTGTGTAGTAAAAGGAATTTGTAATTGTATTTTGTCAGTTTGACCAGACCAGTACAATACGTACTTATTTTAGTCTGTTGTTTCTGAAGCACTGTAAAGTGAAAGATACTGTTAATAATAATAATAAAATCTTTAAAAACAAGGTTAATTTACAATTTTGCCCTGTAATTCAAGATGATAACAGATACATTATTTTGTTTTAAGTAATGGAATTTGTAACACTACCAATCATATATAAGGGAAACAAAAATTTACCCACTTAAAGATTTTGAGATGAAGATATCGTATTTCATATATTTTAAGATGTCAATGATGATAGTTTTAAACTTTAGTTATTTTTGTTCATATCTCAAAATTATTAAGAATTATTTTAAGACTTTAAGTATTTTTTTTTACTTGTGTGTCGTAACTCAACCTCAATTTAACTTTGACTAGAACGTCTATAATATTTAAACGTTTTTATATTCATCTTAAATTTGCTTTCTTTTTGGTTGTTGTTGGAAAACTTATGTACAAATTTTAGCAAATTAAACACAAATTTATAGAGAAATATTTTAAGAAAAAATTCAATGTGATCAAGTGGGTATGTAAAAGTAATTTCATAATTTTAAAAAACTATTCGGGTATGATTTACTATTTTTGAGAGCCAGATTAAAACATTAATTGTTTTTTAGTTTTATAAATTTTTTCTAATAACCGTATTGTTGTGTTCGTAATATTTAAGATATTATACTTAATTTTGGCATTAATATTTTTTTACAAAAAAGGTTTTAGTAGCGTGAATTTGTTTGGAGTTTCTTTTCAAGATCTCTAAAACTTGAACTTTTAAAGTTTACCTTGTTTATAGACAGATAACTTCTTCAGAAATATTTCATTGACGTTTCACGTGTAACTTGCAGTTAAAATGGATTAGATTTGAATTAAGTACTAATTTGATTTCAATATTAAATTATTAGAATTTGGTTGTTTTTGACAAGAAATACTGTTGTAGTCTAGGTTATTTTTTAAAGTGTTACATTGTGTTACATTGTGACAAGCAACAACAAAAATTGAAGATTTATAAGCTTATGGAAATCACGATGGTTGGATAAAATGGTTTATAGTATAATGCTGGTTTATTATAAGACTTCATTCAGAGTCTTATTTGAGTTTTATTAGTGCTCCTGATAAAAGAGTTTTTTTAGTGAATGCCTACTTTTTATTTTTTGTTGTATTAAGCAACTAAACTGAGTTATTTCTCATCTTTGAGAAAACGATTATTAGGCTATTATTGTATTATTAACATTTGTTTTTATTTACAGGTTTTTTCTCATATTCTTCTGCATTTTAAAATTAAGTTAACGAGCATCATCATTATTAGTCTCGCATAGATTGGAATTAAATTCTAAAACACAGTTTAATGTCTTGTAACCATTTTTACTAATTCTATAAATATGGTTATTACCTCATATTGAATGAGCATCTTGTTGATCTATAGTATTACTGCTAGGTATCTGCAGTTTGTTTTTGATTGTTAACACTGCTGTTAAAATAAGTCAATGAAAAGTTCAGCACATGAAAGATTTGCGAATTGCTACAGCACAGATTTCCTGTCATTGACAATGGGGCTATTTTCAGACTATACCAGACCCTTGAGGATTTATACCATAAATTGTGATCTGTTATTTTATGTGAACTCTACCATTCTGATGCCTGTGCCAGTGCCTTCGATAGTCAGCCTGGTGTCAGCTCTCATCCCCCTAATACCTAAATGTTACCTATGGATTGTCAAAATATTTCTGTGCAATTCATATTATTTTCATCTATTTTTTTTTGGTCATACAAGAAGTTGAATCACAATACAATTTTCAGTCGCCATTATATTATCTTATTATATTGTTATTAATTGTTTATTTATTTTAATTAATGACTTTGATCACCAGGATTTGGATTTTTGACGTTTGAAAGTGAAGATTCTGTAGATAAAGTTTGTGCTGAGCATTATATAGAAATACAAGGAAAGAAGGTTAAAAAACACTTAAGTTTTTCCATTAGTTTATTTTTTTTACAATTCTAGTTTGATTTCTTGAGTATTTTTGTGATATCACTTTACAATTCTCTTTCTAAAAAAAATAACTGATCAGATTCAATTTCATTTTTGTAAATTGTTTACCTGATGTATGTGTTGCAATTCTATACTACTTTTAAAAAGTTCAAAAACTTGATTCAAATCATTAACATCCAATAACAAAACTTAATTCTTGTCTTTTCTAAGCACCAAAATCTCCAGAAATCAACTACAGATTGTGTTGCCAATTGAGCTACGATATATAAATAATTCTGCAAATTTTCATTACAATAAATTTTTAATAAGCATAGCAAGGTGATGATAGTGGAAGGTGATGCAAAATAGTACTTTGCACTCGTTAATTGCACTAAATGACTTATGATCAGAATTTCATTTTGCACATTTGTACCTCCAATGCATTTTAATCTTTTATCTGATTTGAAATAAGTAAGATAGCCCACAGAATTAAAATGAAACAGAAAATCTGTTTTATCAGATTATTTAAAATTATTTGAAGTATTTATGTTTATATTATTTTATTGGTTATGGATTTGATATTTTTTTTTAAGAATTCCAACAATTTTTTTTATTTAAAATAAACATTTTTAGCCATTTTTGGAGCTGTTATGATTTTTCTTTTCTTTAAAGAGAATTTTCAGAAGTAAATTTTAGTTATTTTTGGGATTATGAAGTCTTATTCTGCTTTGACTTGATATGATCATTATTCTTAAAATGACAATTAAATATGATAAAAACTTATGATTTTTGATAGTTATTAACTGTTGTATTGTAAATTATAGAAAATAAACAAGTTTTGAATTATATTTATGAAACCTAAATACATGTACTGGTGACGCTTACATTTTATTTTTTAGATCTATAAAGATATTGACACGTATTAAATCTTTATTGTTATGTTATTAATCCATTCATATTACATAGATTTGTTAGACAATTGTTATCATGGCCATCACTTCAGTCCCGTCAACATTAAATCATGAAACCCTAGCCTCTTTCTGTGTTCGTTAATGTTTCCAAAGTAACTGCATTCTTTAACCTATTAATTGATTGTAAAGACGTTTTATTATTTTAAAAGCTGTCTATGATTTACTACATTTGCCTTTTTAAAGTTACCTGAATTATTTATGAAGATTGTTGCTGTTATTATTATCCTATGATTATGGCCAATGATTGCTGTGAGAAACTGTGAGAAACTGTGAGAAACTGTGAAGACTCTAATGATGTTGGTGATGAAGACTGAAGAAGCATAGAAGCAATACTTTATATTTTTATTTGTAATAAGTATTTAACTAGTTCAAAATATGGCAAGACTTCTTTTCAAATAGTAAATATAAGTGTTTATGTTCAAGTGAATTTCTTTATATTTCATTCAATATGTGAAGTTGTGGAATTAAGTGGGACTGCAGAAATCACTAGTGTCAAGAAGACTATGGATATATAAAGTTTATAATCATAATTATTTATGTGGTGATATTTATTATGTGCTGTTAGAGGGTGTTGGATAGCTAGATTGAGTTTGATTGCTGTTTTTACACACACTGTCCATTTTTCCATTTTATATTGAAGATAACGTCAAATATTTATAAAAAACCTAGTTGTATACCAGGCACATGGTGATACAAACATTGTTGATCATGTACTTTGTTTTATTTGTATTAAAGAATTATTTTTGAATAATGTTTTGATTATTATCTTAACCAGTGTATTTTGTAACTTCAATGATATTTTAAATGTTTTTTTCATTTTACCCTTGTTATTGTCAAAGCAGAATAAGATGTTAAAATTTAAGATATTTTAAGAATTAAACTAGGAAACATCTTTAAGATTACTAAAATTTAGAAAAACTTTGATAGGTTTTTAAGATTCTAGTATTTCTACCTGCTCTCTTAAAGTAAAAACCATTCAGATTCAGAAAATATATGAGTTGAAAATACGTTGTTAAACCATCAAAATAAATAATATTGCTTATTTTTGGAATGATTAAACTTTAAGAGAGCAAGTATGATTTTAAGATTTGTTATGTTTAGTTAAAGCTGGAACTTGGTGTAATATACAGGTCCTTCATTCAAAACAAGAAATTACATCATATTTTCAAAAAATCTTCCCAGAAATATTTTGTGATCTCTTAATACTAAAAATCATATATTAAAAAAATAA